GCAACACTGAGACCCTGGCTAAAATTTTAATAGGGCAGGAAGAAACAGCATTGTGCAGGAGGCAGAATCTTCACAGGTCCTAGGAGAGCAAGACTGTGTGTACCAGGGACAGGAAATCCCAACCACTGTCCTCATATCAGGTGCCAACCATCAACAGCAATCACCATGGCATGTGGTCTGATGAGCCTTGCTTTGGAGTGGTACCCATGTAATGGAAGGCTAAAGGTAGAAAGCCAGTTTCTCTACTCACCTCTGCACAGGCCCTGGGACAGCTGTGGCTACAGACAGAAGGGGGCTGATCTAAACACAGTGTGGATTGCCTGTGGTGTAGAGGGCACGATGTCCTTGTAAGCACCTGCACATACCCACAAGAACACATACACACATATACAACACACACACACACACACACTCACACACACATAAAGATGAAGGCTAGACATGTTACTCAATTGGTAGAGCACTTGCCTGGCATTCACCAGCCCTAGTTTCGATTCTCAGAACCACATAAAGTCAGACATGGTAACACGCAACAGTTATCCCAGCACTCAGGGTGCGGGCCAGGAGGATCCTGTGGAAGGCTCTTCCAGCTACAGAGTGAGTTTGATATCAGCCTGGAACCCATCTACCTCATCTCAAAAAAAAAATCTAGCTTAGATTCCTTAAATTCACTCCTTTGAAATTTGTCACTGGCTCTGCTGTAAAGACAGACACTTCGTGGAAGGGTGAGTTAGACATAAGACCCATATCCTTGTGCTGTGGGCCCACGGGGGTTCCTCAGATCCCAGCTTCTATGTTGATGACCATTAAATCACTGTCCCCAGGGCATAGTTTGCTTAGCCTCTACTCTGAGAAGAACACTCTTTATGCACTGTGTGTCTAGTGTGGTCCCACTTTATAGATACAGACACTGAGACCAGGGAGATGGTGTTTCCTGCACAGGTCACTCATCCAGGCCTGGTGACAAACCAGGCGTTGAGCTCCAAGGCTCTCCAGAGTCCAGTGGCTGCACAGCCTGGAAACCTTCCAGGGGCTTTTAGGGCTCCAAGGCTATGCTATAGGACTAGGGATAAGACTGAACTTAGAGGTTCTGCTCCCTGCCCCAAGTAGGCTAAGAGGAGCAATGAACATGGAAGCAAAGGTATTTCCCACAAATCTTTGCTCTAAGTATTCCCTATATTCTAGATACTCCTAGTACTCCCTTATGGAAAGTAGGTTCCCAAACCCCTCCCCGGAGACTCCAAAGGCCTGGAACAGAATCTTCAAACCTACCTAGTAACAGCTGACTCCTCCCTAGCTAAAAGCAGGGGAAAGCCTGGCATCTCTTCCTTCATTTTGTGTCTCTCTCCTTGTGTTTGCTTTGGACTCCTGCCAGATTCTGTATAGATATGGGAATTACCAAGACTTGTCTGTCTATCTTCATTTCTCCTCAAGACTGAAAAGGAACAGGACAGGATGTGGAACCTGCAGTCACCCAGGATTCCAGAACAGCAAACTTCCCTGGCAGATGGTGCCAGTCATCCCTGATGGTGAAACTGCTCCCTGGAGCAGCTCACCTGGGAAGAAGTCTCCCTGTTCATATGAGTGGTAAGAGGTTAACAATGTTCCAGACCAACTGGCACAGTCTGAGTTGAACAGTGAGGGACAGGACCATACCTCAGCCAGGACCGCTGAGCTGGATAAACACCTCTTGCTCTGGTCCCAGTTCTCCCTTTACTAAACTTAAAGCTTGTATCTGTACCCTGAAGATGAGCTCAGGGTCACTAGGTCCTGTCATCTGTTTTTTCCTAGCATTGATCGGTCTCTTTTGTTTTCACTCTCCCTCGTCTCTCCTGTTGCTGTATGGGACAGGTAGCTGAGCCCAGCTTATTGATGCTGCCAGAGCCCTGGGCTTCTACCCTCAAACCCCACTTACGATGAGGCTGGAGCCAGCTTCAAGGCCAATGATAAATTCCCTGCACAGTTCTTGCTCTTTGCCCTCCGATCCTTTGCCTTGTGGGGATGGGCCAGGGTTGGTAGAAAACAGTCACCTCATGTTCACGAGGTGACCTTCGTGGCAGAGGCAGTGGCCATTCCTGAGGATCCCCAACAGTATCAGTTAGCTCTGATGGGGCTTCCAAGGGGGTTTTCCCAGCTGTCCCCAGCTCAACAGACAGTAGCAGCTGCTACTGTTCAGGGTCAGAGGAAAAGTCCCTAAATGCACTACAACGGCCTCTCACCTCCACCTGGCCTCCACTATGGACACTTCCCCCAATCCACTCCTGGTGGCTGTTACTTCTCAGTGTCACATTTGTGCCTGGAGCCAGCTGTGGGGGATGGGGGTGGGGAGAAGAGCCAACAGCCCTTTCCAGAAAGCCCAGCCTTGGTGGTCTTAGATCCTGACGCCTTGAGAGCAATCCTGATCTTGATCTCACATGGAAGTCATAAGAGAACTGAATTCTCTGCTGCCAAGGTAGATGAGCCAAACTCCATTTCAGCAGACACCCCCAGCCCTTAAACGGGCACTGCCAGGTGAGGAGCCAGAGAGAAGGCTCTGGGTCTGACTCCTGGGAGCTTTGGCAATCTGCTATACTGATTCCAGTGGACTATGGTGGCAGTTGAGTAGTAGAGTTTTAGAAGCTACTAGAACTGAGGCTGGGCTTGGAAATATATATATATAT